AACGCTTAGTCTATTTGCTGTCCTAGTAGGTTCATCATCCCGGGGTTCCTATACAGAAAAAAAATGGAAAAACATATAACAAAAATTCAAGTGGGTGACCCAATGGCATAATATGTCTGAGATAATGCCCAATATGAACAAATGAGGAAAAAAAATACAGAACATATTGAAAACCAAATTAGGCCTAATGTACACCAGTGGCGGGGGATCAACTGACAAAAGTTGAACTGTTCAAGTCAGATTTATCATTTTGATCTTCTATAGTCATCTCTCCAATGCCCTCTATTTAGTGACCACTTTCCTCCCATCCCTCTATTATGCATAGAGGGAAGTCACAGGAGGCTTATCTCCTATGTAGTTCCCACAAATGTATCTTGGGCTCCTGCTGTCATCCACAGCCTTCTGCAAACTAGATTCTCACAATTTAGCCTCTGAGACTAATCCTGCCTTCCACTTCAGGTTATATGATTTACAATCCATTGGTGACTGATGATGTTGGTGTTCCGTGTTGGTGTTCCATGTGGTGTCCATGTGGACTTAGTTGACATCTCACTTAGATTGTTGGTTGTTTGGAAATAAGCTTTTAAGACCCCAGATACTCTTTGATCTTACAGCCTGGCCATTTAATTTCTGCACACTTTGCTAGAGCACCCATCTCTTCAGTGTTCGCTTCCTGAGGGCAAGTATTGAGCAGGGCCATGATGTAAGAACCAATTGTTCATAAGTTGGAGCTAAGATTTAGGGTGAGCCCAAAACTCATTCCTGGATCTATGTTTTATTTTGTTTTTAATCTGTCTTTGGCTTCCTCTCAATACTTCCCTGTTAATTTATGGTAGGGAGTCTTATTGATCATCCTCCTGGGTCATAATGATCTTTCATTTTTATTGTCTTTAATCAGTGCTTAGTACTAATTTTTTAAAGCCCCGTTGAGAGAGGAATATTGGGCCAAATGTAGGCTAACTCTAGAATGCAGTACCTGAATTATTCATTGTACAGAATCAATCCTTTCATGGATGGACACTATTTACAAAAGCACAAGGGCTTAATTGTCAGGGAAAATTTACACTAATAACTCTCTGAGAATGTCAGTCACAGGTTTGCCGGAATTATATACATCTAACTACAGCATATAGGGCATTGATGTACCAAGGCCATGACTGCCTGCCTACAAACAGTTGAACAGTTCATCAATCTTGGTATGGCTACCTTCAGCTTCCTCACCCTGAATTTTCAATCTTAAGTCCTTAGGTTACAACTGTGCCTGAAGTCGAGTCCACTTCACCTAGTGGATTTTCCACATTGTTTCTCACCTACGCAGCCTCTATATTGTGCTGTAAGCCTTGAAGATCCAGGAGTTAATGCCCCAGCATGCTGCAGCACCCAGCCTAAGTACCCTGAATGCACCCAGAGGCCCCAGTCAATGTGACCTATTCAGCGCATACACCCCCAGGGACACAAAGCATTTTAGCCACTCTTCCCCTAACTGGAGGTCAGTTCTCCAGCTTTCCTTACCAATGATGAGCATGCATTTGTGTTCCCCCAGATGGGTCTGCTCCCCTTCCCCACTGCTGACTTGATTTCCCCATCAGTATCCCTCATCCCTCTGGTAGGGGCTATCTACCTGTCAGGGGGGATCTCATCAGAGCTTTGCACGGCAGCCACTCAGTAGACAACATCCCCTTGCCCTCCCTCAGCAATTCGATCCCTGCTGAGGTGCTCTCAGGCAATGTGCCCTTCAAGACACATACCTATATGGTTCATTGGCACCAGTCAGGCTCTCTACCGGGCCATCTGGCTCTCCTGGCCAGCAGACTGGATGCCCTGCTACCCTGAGCAAGGATGAGCCCACCCTTCTGTTTGTTCCTACAACAGTGGACTCGTGCAATAGTTGTCCTTTCGTGATTGACTAACTTCACTCAGCATAATGTCTTCCAGATTCCTCCATGTCATGGGGTGTTTCTTGGTTTTATCGCCGCTTTTTAGGGATGCATAGGATTCCATTGTGTGTATATACCAGTTGTTGTTGTTGTTTATCCAGTCTTCTACTGATGGGAATTTAGACTGCTCCCAACTTCTTGCTATTATTGTAAACTGTGCTGTGATGAACATGGGTGAGCATGTGTCTGTTTGTGGCCTGTGGGGCATATCTTTTCAAAACTTTCTTCGTAGGTATGGCCTAAACCCATCTACAGATCAAATTTTAATGGCTGAAAGCAAGTAGGCTTACAAGCTTTCTATGTTCATACTTGCCATATTTTCCTCAAAAAACAGCCAAGTAAACAGTGAGGCTGTATCTGACCTCTGGCTAGACAAAGAAGAAAAATTACCATGAGGGAGAAGTAAAACTCTCCGTCTTATGATTTGTTCTCCAGTACCCCACTTCCAAGGTACCATAATGTGTAAGTCTGGGTAAACTAGGGAAATAAATCCACAGAAACTCATATGTGTAAGAGATAATGTTATATAAAGGGTAAGTGTGCATCAAGAAAGCATCCCAACCCAGTGCTGTCCAAGCTCGTAAGTCCAACATTAGCCCATATGTCTGACATCAATCTACAAAGTCCTCTTCCAACTCACAAAACACACACAATGATGCCGACTGCTAGAGGCGAGCGGAATCAGTGAGCATGTAAGCATCTAAGCACTGGCAGGCATCTCCACATGGCTCCTCCAGCACCCAGGGCTCCATCGGGGTAGGTCCATGTAGCTTCTCCTCAGGGATGTTTCACAGGAAGTGAGCCTTGCCAGCTGAAGCAGGGAACTGCTAAGGCAGCTGCACCCTGGACCAACCTTCGCAGATCAAGAGACCTGAGAACCAGAAAGGCGAGGCTTACCGAGTCATTTATCCTTCCACCCTTCAATTAATCCCACATGTGTTTATTGGCCAGATTGGCACAATAAACCTTGGCTATCTCAGGCATGTTGTCCAGAGAGCCCAGTCCCTGAAGAAGGACATCGTGTTTCATAATGTAGAGGGGAAGGGCAAAAGAGGAAGGCCACCCTCAATGAGATGGATTAGCAAAGTGGCTGATCAATTGGCCCAAGAATAGAAGCAATTGTGATCATGGTGCAGAACCAGGCAGTATTTCCTTCTGTTTGCATGCGCTGATTATGGGTGGAATACAGGATGGCACTTAATAACAACAACGAGTTTGTAGTCTTAAATATGAAACTAATCACACATCTTTGCCACCCAGAACAAACTAATAAAATAATATTAAACAGTTTGGGCCCAGGGATTTTCAATAGTATAGAACTGTGGAGTGAATGGCAAGCTGCCAGGGTCATTGCCCATGTTCTTGCCATGTTTATATCTGAAGTACCTAATACAAGTGGTGTGACAGAGATTATATTTTCTAAATAATGAAGAAGTGATTAGATGGCGGCTCATCATCTCCAAACGAGCCTGAAAGCATGGTAAGGTACAATTTACTACATGCAGGATAGGATGTAAGAAAATGTCCAATTCAGCTGGTTGTTATCATTTCACCTTAAGCAGAAATATCCAAGACTCTGGAAGTTCGTAAGAACTGGTTCAAGTAACAAAAAAATGCCCTTGAAGTTTCTGAGTCCTCTTAATAGTCTCACGTATATCACAGGGCTAGTTTCATATCTCTTTACTGTCTCGCTAGCTAGCTATTAGTGATAATATAATAATAGTAATCAGCATTTATGGTAAGCACATATGTGCTTAATAGATCTTTATATATTTCATCTCATTTAAGATGCACGGCAATTCTATATAGTATTACTTACTCTTATTCTCATTTTGGGAGGGGTAAGGAATAGGAGCCTAAGAAATTTTAAGTAATTCAGAACCATACAGTGGCTAGTGCTAAGATGTGAACCCTGGCCTTGATTTTAACCGTTTTGCTACACTGTGTCTAGATTATGGAAGACATGTTTAGGATCCATTTGTTTTTAAGATTTTTAAGTTTTAAATATAAGGCACTCAGCATTTAAAAAAATATCGGTAGTAGCTACCTGTTTTAGTAATTGCCACCTCCCTCTTATTTGGAAGAGGAGAACAGGTCTCCCAAAGAGATTAACTCCAAACTAGACAATGTATGTTTTGAACCAGCAGGCTTTTTAAAATGTCTTGGCTCTTCCACAGCTAATGGATAGCCTGCTATGTTTAGAATATAGAGACTGTCGTACACTATAGATTGGTGTGCCTAGCCTTTCCCTTTTCTCTCTAACTCCAATCATATCCTGTGTTTCTCTTGGGGCTGATATCCCCAGTGAGCATCTACTCCCCATAGGAGTAAGACAATGACTCAGAATGAGCTAATTAAAATACCTAATTAACTGATCACCATGATTCTTGTTCAGGTGGTCAGTGGGTCTAATTCTGGCCAAAGTTGGTCTGTGTTGTGGTGTTGGTAAGTGATTTCAAGTCGGTTCTAACCCATAGTGGCCTTATGCACAATAGAAGGAAACAGTTCATGGTCCTGGGCCGTCCTTACAATTGTTCCTGTGTTTGAGCGCATGGTTGCAGCCACAGTGTCAGTACAGCTCATTGAGGGTCTTCCTTGTTTTGCTGCCCATCTACTCTACCAAACATGATGTCCTTCAGGGACCGGTCTCTCCTGACAACATGTCCAAAGTAATTAAGATGAAGTTGGCTGTGTGGCGAACTGACTGGAAGAGGTTTATATTTATACCTATTCCCAAGAAAGGTGACCCAAGAGAATGTCCAAATTATAGAACATTATCATTGAAATCACATGCTAGGAAAATTTTACTGACGATCAACCAACATTGGTAGCAGCAGGACATTGATAGGAGCTAACAGTGGTTCAGGCCAGATTCAGAGGAGGACATGGAACAAGAGATCTCATTGCTGATGTCAGCTAGATCTTGGCTGAAAGTAGAGAATGCTAGAAAGATGTTTACTTGTGCTTTATCACACTTGACTATGTAGATTGTAACAAACTATAAGTAACCTTGAAAACAGTGGGAATCCCAGAACATGTTCATCTGAAACCTATACATGGTGCACGGCGCAGTTGTGGTAAAAAACACGGAAATACTACCTGGTTTGAAATCAGAAAAGGTGTGCATCAGGGTTGTAGCCTCTCACTGTACTTATTCAATCTGCATGCTGTCGTTAGGTGTCATTGAGTGTATTCTGACCCATAGTGATTCTGTGCACAATGGGAAAAACAGGACCTTGTCCTTCACACCTCCCAGTTGATTTCATGCTGCAGCCCGTTGTTGCAGCCACTGTGTCAACTGATCGCTATGCGGGCTTCACTCCTTTTGCTGCCCGTCGACTTTGCCAAGCATGATGTCTTTATCCGGGTACAGATCTCTCCTGACAACATATTCGTGTGTAGGACAAAGTGTCACCATTTTTGCCTCTAAGAAGCCCTCTGACTGTACTTCTTACAAGACAGATAAAATGGTTAAGAGTTTGGATTATACAGCCTGCTTGCTAGTGATCTTAGTTTGGGGATCTTGGGCAATTTATTCTGTTTCTCCGTACCTTACTCTTTTTTTTTTTATCCTCCTATAGACAGAAGAGAAAAGGGTAAAAATGAAATGGCTTCAGATACATAAAGCATGTAGAGAAGTGCTGGAACATGGTACACACTTGGCAGGTGGTAGCATTGAAACAATCAATCAATCAATTCACTGATTCATCCTGAGGAAAAAATATCTTGCATTTTTGGTTAAGAAGTTAGAAGAAAATGAGGTAGCACTGATTATAACCATTTATCCTCTCTATTTAAAAAAGTCTGTTTGCAGCAGAAATGGAGGCTATAACCCAAGCGCTAGCAGAATAATGGTAGCCAATCTTCCTTCATCAGTCCATGGGTCAACTTATTTGTGACTGAAATCGTTCTGAGGCATCAGGGTTTATAGTAGAACAATGAAGTGAGTTGGGCTAAATAGAATTAGGTGAATAAGGCACTGTGATTGGCTTTGGATTTCATCCTTTACCCATGATTGGGTATCAAAGTTTTTCACAGAGAATGATATAATCACACACGTGAAGCAAAAAGAACTACCCCAATCCTTGTGTTTCAGGTTAGAGAAGTGAGTGGTTCTCAAGTTTTTTTGTATTTGTTCTATCTGTACATAATTTCAAATTTATCGTATGAGATTATATTACTTAATAACTCATTACTATAATAAAGGGAGTTCTGTCCCATTGGACTTTATTCACAGACTAACCACATTGATTCTGACTTTGATTCTCTTTAAAATCAACAGTAATTAAATGACGTGCATCGAGGGCTAGAGCTTGACTCAATAGGACGTTGTGTGCTAGGGAGAAAGATGAGGGTTTCTATTCCTGTAAAGATGACAGTCGTGGAGCCCATAGGAGCAGTTCCACTCTGCCCTGTAGCATTCCTATGGGTCAGAATTAACACAATGACAGTTAAGTTTTTGAGTTTTTGTGGACAAGAGTAGTAGAAATTCTTCTCATGAGAAATATTTAACATTTCCACTGCATTTTGCTTCTGGACTGAACAGTTTTGGAAGAAATTTAAAGCACCCAGATTTAAATATTGCCATATAATTCTGACATGCAATTTCTCCTCTGATTGAATTATTCTACTGGATGGAATCTCCTATAATCACTTCCCTACTAAGAAATTTCAGTGGCTCTTTCATCTGTTGGATTAAATACAAGCTTCTCAGTGTTAAAGTTATAACAAAATAACTACAGTTAATAAGCATTTTGTTGAATACCTCCTGTGGGTGAGGTACAAGCTAGAAAACTCTTGCCCAATGGAAATATAATGTCAGCCACTTATGTAATTTAAAAAATTTTGTTGCGAAAAAATATGTAACAAAATGTATCATTTAAATATTTATAAGTGTCCAATTCAGTGATATTATATCCATTCATCATATTGTGCAATTATCACAGGTACCTAGTTCCAAAAGATTTTCATCATCCCAAACAGAACTCACTATTCCTTAAGAAAAAACTCCCCATTCAATCCACTCTTCCTCTTCATTGCCAAGCTTGGGTTTAGTCATCACTCAAGTAGAATTCTGCTGCCTGACCACCTGACCTTGGGCTCATCCGCCCTGCAGTTGTCCAAGTCGAGAGAAGCATCCAGTCGAACATCTGACCCACAGACTGACTTGTTGCTGAGTCCGTGCTGACTTGACGGCAGAGCGGGGTTTGATAATCCTATAAACGTTTCCTTCAGATAAACCTTTGTGTGTGTGCACATGTTTAACCTGCACTGGTTTCATTTCTCTAGAGTCCCTGGCCCAAGACAAGGTTTTATTGATACATTATCTTCTATAGTTTTGAGGGTAGTGTAGACAAATTGATAAAGGATTAGAAATCTAAGAAAAATTTTAATGATAACTTCGCTGTTTGTTAGGGATACAAACTTAGAAAACCCACGTATTCTCTCTGACCTTCCATTCCTCCTCTGTAAACTGAGCAATTAAGCATGCAAAAAAGAGGATGCTGCTGAGGTTAAGCACAAAGTGCCTGACTTTAAACTCAAGTTCTGCATTTGAAATCCTTAGCTCTGTAGCATTTAGCAAGCTAATTCATTTCAGCGCTTCAGTTGCCTCATCTGAAATGTGGAAAATAAAAATACCTCATAAGTTTTTTTCTAATAATCATTTGAATTTTTAGAAATATAAATATTCAGGCTTACATTGAGACATAATGATGTAATAAGCACTCAGTTATCAGGAACCCTGTTGGAACAGTGGCTAGGTGCTTGGTTGCAAAGCGGTTGGTGGTTTAAATCTACCCGCAGGTCTATGAGAGAAAGATGTGGCAGTCTGTCATGTTAAAGATCATATTTTGGAAACCCTATAGGGCACTTTTACTCTGTTCTATAGGTTGCCTGTGAGAGAGCATCAATTTGATGGACATGGGTTTTTTGTTTCCAGAGTATAAGGTGTTATTTAAGGTACATTTATTCAACTTTCCAGTTTCTTTTTTCCTCTCTTTTCCAAGTTATTCATATTTATGTCCAATATAGAATATAATATTGTTTTATATACAATGCATACTCAATATATACTTACTAGCTGAAGAAACAGAATGGCTCAGCTTACTTTTTAATATATTTTATATTAATTCTACTTCCACACACACTAAAAACATTATTTCAGAGAATGTAACAAATAATTGCACATGAACTAGAGAATGCATACTGTTAACAGTGCATACTATTTTACATTCCTCTGGGGGTATGCAGTCATGTTTGAAGCATTCTGAATTCTACATGCACAAAACTCCCTGTTATTCAATCAATATAGTCCTCTGTCTAATTCTAATAATCTCAAATTAGAATACCTTTTAAATTCAACCATAGTATGAGACTGTACTGAAAATGAATTCATAAGGGAGGCAAACATTGTCATAAGCAATGATAAAAATATTTGAATAATGTAATGTAAAATGCTACAGCAGAACCCATAGAAGT